GGGATCTCTATTCTAAATGCTATCATATCATGGCAGTAATATTGCCCATTACTAAAATAGCATTGGCACTGCAAACATTCCCCTTTCTCCCTCAGCCTTTCCTTACCTGTGGGAACAATTCCAAGGTATTAACTCTGCTTAGCATTGCCAAGACAAAAGCAGCTGTTTTTCCTGTTCCAGATTGGCTCTGAGCTATGAGGTTCTGGGGTCTGTAGAAGAGAAGAGACATCTGGGATAAACTGCATACAGGAGACTAAGAACCAAGTTGGAACAGCACTGCTCTGGAAACTCACGGGTGTGCCAGCATCATAGGGAGAGCCATTTCTTGGATTTTGGATGGTCTGTTAAATCCCATTGCATAAATCCCTTTTAATAACTCTTCCTTCCTATAAAAAAAAAAAGCAAACACTTAAAGCCTATGATTGGTCAGTAGCCTCAGAAATACAAACTAAAAGGGTGCATTTTTAAATTAAGCCACTTTGCAACTAAGTTTCAAAAGTAATATTTAGAAAAATACAATTTTTCAAAAGTAATATTTAGAAATACACAATTTATAACTCGACTCCCAAGCACACACAATCATGGCTGTATGTATGGACCACTCAAATAATACGCTATGCTATAAGCCTAGGCTGAGGACAGTAATAATAGCCTAACATTGAACTTTTGGTTGAACCAAACAAAAAGGAAAAACTCATCTGAAAGAAATGTATCAATTTGCCAGAAGAGTCTTATTTTCTATACAAGGAGAAAACTGAGATTTACTGTATAATCCTTTTTTAAAAAAGATTTTATTTTTTAAGTAATCTCTACACCTAACATGGGGCTCTGATTCATGAACCCCAGATCAAGAGTCCTATGCTCTTCCAATGGAGCCACCCAGATGCCCATACTGTTTAATTCTTTTTCATGAATGACAAACTTTGATTCTTTAACAGCTATTTTCAGAGAAGACAGATTTTACTGAGGTAATTCTTACATTAATTCTGTGTAGAGGTGGAAGACACATTACTACCTCATCCTATGAGCCAATTTTTTTTTTTTTGAGAGAGAGAACAAGTGGGTGCCGGATGGGGGGTGGGTAGGGGCAGAGCGAGAGAGAGAAAATCTTAAGCAGGCTCCATGCCCAACAGAGATCCCAACTCAGGGCTCAATCTCACAAGGCTGAGATCACAACCTGAGCTGAACCCAAGAGCTGGACACTTAACTGACTGAGCCCTGACATACCCCTGAGCCATCAGTTTTAAACACATCTTTCCTGGTGTCTCATGGTAGACGACAGGAAGATAAAATGAAATAGGCTGGAATACTTCCACCTTCAATGACATACAGGCACGTTTTGCATTTGCTTAATTGGCAGATTACTGGCAGCCAACTGTTAATCATAGGTAGGCTTCTCCTTCCACCTAGAATAGTTTGGGGCATTGGGATTTTGGATTTCTCCCCTTTACATAAGTCCCTATCAGTAACTCTTCCTGTTAAAATACATTTCCTTAATGTGAGTTGACAGATACCTAGGAAATGCAAACCCATTTGGGAAGTTATTCATTTGAATATCATCTGAAATAAAACATAATCAGGAAGATGACAGCTTATAACTTATCTACAGTGAGGGATGGAGGATATGTGGTCCATTGACGTCCCTGTATCTGTATTATGGTATGGAGAATAGCAACACGGCTCTGTCGAGCTTAGCTAGCCCCCTTAGCACAGCAAGGTTAAAATATTTTACTTTCAAGATGTTCTCCATTTGCTGCACACTCAGGTATCCTAATACTCCTCTTTGAGTCACATTTCAATTGCATGCAAAATGTGCACATCTCATTTTAATACTGCTTATTAGAACATGAAGAGGATTCTGAGGGTTTTTATTATTTAGCAGATTGTTCTGTACCATTCCTTCTGGCATTTTCCCAACATTAAATGAGTAAAAAATACTCACAGCCGCAGCTCTTCAAATGTTTTTACTGAGTAGAGTGGAGAGCTGGGATCCTTTTGTAAGACTTCAACTCGGTGACTGGATTCTACTAAGGACTGCCGGATTAACTTGTTTAAGAGTGAATTAGCTGCCAAATCCACTAGAAAAGCAAAAATAATAATAATAAAAAGGATATATTGTAGGAGACAAATCCAGCCTTCTAAGTGGTATCTAATAAATCGCTCCTTCCCGTTCAGAGATTGTATATCAAGCAACTGCTCCTAGTCTCATCTTTCTTCTAAAAGAAGGTTCTAGAAAGAATGACATAACACCAACAATTCCTTTTTTACCCGAGAATCCAGTTTCTTATGCTCTGCAGCTGCACCAACCTCTGACCTTAAGCAAGCCTACATCTATCACCACCAGGCCTAATTTTTCCTTGCCGGCTGAAAATTCTTAACTCATTCTGCACATTCCATATCAACTTCCCCTACAGAAATATGGCCTTACTCCTAATTTTTGTATTTCTTCTGATAGTCACTATTTATAAAGAAAATAGAAGAAAAAACAGCTCTTTTCCAACCGAGATTATATGATTCACTCACACTGTAAAAATCATGATGAACTGATACAGAGGGCTAGGTGCATGCAAATAAATGTATCTCCTACCTACATCGTCTTCATCATCTTCTTCCGTGTTATTAATTGAACCATCTAAAAGGATGGGAGAGAAACAGTAAGTACCGAACAAGATAGGTAAAGTGCATGACCCCAAAACCCTCACTGACTCCTCGGTGTGCAAGGGGCAGGGGCATCCAGTGGAAAGCTTGGGTTAAAAGAACAGGCAGGTCGCGGAGGGCCTTGGCAGTTAAATTAATGGGAGCCGGAGGCATTTCGGTTGCCAGGGCCCCGAGGAAAGCAATGCTTTTTTTTAATTAACGGAGGCCCATCTGCTTTATCTAACAGCACTCACCTACGTTTGGGACTGTAGTGGTCTTAATGCCCCGAAGGTTCTTCCGGGGATGGATGAGGTTTGAGAACTATTGAAAGACACAAATTTCAGCCGGGGTTAGGAAGCCAGCCAGCCAGCAGCCCATGCTCCCCCCGGGGCAGGGAGGGTCCCACCCCAATGCTCTTTTCCTCTGCGGTGTCAGCTATGGATTCCGACACCGGAGTCTTTTCAGGAAGAGGTCACCTCTATGAATCGTGCTAAAATCGAAGGAGGCTTTCTGCTGCCCCTGTACCTTAGGGTTCCTCTAATCTAAATGTGGCCAGTCCGGGGGGGGGGGTCACGGCACGAGCAAGGGCAGGTGGGCGGCAGCGCGCGGTGGTGGGTAAGATGGAAGCTAGGCGAGGCTCCATGGTCAAACGGGGAGAGCGCAAAAAACTCCAAGGTCTGGTTGGGGCTACCAGCTGCTCGGGGTCCCGGGACTCCTAGGGGTCTTCGTCTCGCGAGTCTCGGGGTCTCCTGCCCCGGGCCCTGCCCGAGTCGCGCCGCGGCTCCCCTCCACCGCTTGACACCCCACTCCACACGCCAGCGGGGCCCCCCCCGCAGCCCCCCCCCCCGGGTGCGGCCCCGGCCCCCGCCCACTTGCCCTCCCCGGCTCAGCGGCGGTTACATGGCTGCTCAGCCGCTCGCTCTCCGCCGCCCCGGCGTCGCCTCCCCAAAGTAACGACGCCATAGCCGCGCTCGCAGCTCCCGCCCCCGGCACGTGCGCCGTCCCCCGGCACGAGGCCGTGCCCGGCCGCAGCGCGCGGCCAATGGGCTTCCTCCGGGGGCGGGCCGACGCGCCCTCGACCTGCCGCGGCGCGCAGGCGCGCGAGCTCCAGGGAGGCGGTGGGCGGGGCCCGGGCCGGGGGGCGGGGCCCGGGGGGCGGAGGGCGGGACAGGGGAGTGCGTTCAGGGGCAGGTTTTTCTATTCCACCAGCCCCGCGTCCCCGGCAGGTGTGGAAACCCTCGGCGGGGCGCCGCTGTCGTGAACACTCGCCTGCTCCTGACCCTCTGCTGAGCCAGCAGCGGCTTGGCACTCTAAGCCGCCGCAATTTTCGCATTGATTCGAGCGAGAGTCCTACCACTCACTACCCAGACAATTTTCCAGGCGGTGAGGGGGTGGGTACCCTCCACTTCCCCCCAGCCCCGCCCCTGGCTTCAAGCAGTCCTGCCCATGTGGCCCCCGAAACATCTGCTTCCCACATGACAAGATGTCAGCAAGACCAGAGAATTTCCATAGGAATATAGAGGGTCGGAACGGGTGAGTTTCATCTGACAAATAAATTCAAATGCGAAAGTTGCGAAGTTGTTCGGGCTCTAACTGTTGCCCGTGCCCCAATACCTGTGACGTTTCCGCGTACCGGCTTGTTTTGATGTTAATTCTGATGTGTGCCCTTCGCTAAAGCAATCCTGGGATAACTGGTTTCCTGGCGGCACCACCTCCACCTCCTACCCGTGTCTGCATAATCCGGCATCGACTCCCTGTACTGCTGACTAATGAACCTGGACAAAAGAACCACATCTCTTTCCGTTTTCTGACTGGAATCGTGAGATTTGGAGGAGCGTCTCTGCAAAACTCGCAAACCGAGACCGAGCTATGACCTCTCCGTGGTGCTGAAGCGAGACTGCCCAGCACTGTTTGCTCACTCTCGGGCACCGCATTTGTTTTGAGGTTATCAAATTCCTCTTAAGACTCCACATGTGGATTCTAATAGCAAATTTCTTTTTTTATTATCTCGCAATGGCAACTTCCTACTAATTTAAGTAGGTATAAAATCGGGCCAGGTTCTTAAATGTTAGTTTTCATATAAGGATAGCAGACATTTGAAAAACCGCTTTTCCGTTATTTTATTGCACTAGAATTTATCCTTTTATTCTTGTGTCACCATAGGCCCCAGAGTCTGCTTTGTCGGAGGTAGAGAAGTGGTGGCCAGACTGGAAAACGTTAGGCGGATTTCGGCGTGGAGACTGCGCCTCCGTCGCTTGGAACTACATTTCCCACCAGGGTGGACTACATTTCCCATGAGACTCTGGGCGCGCCCGCGCGCGCGCGCGCGCGCGCGCGCAAGACACAAAATGACAGCTTCCTGTCTCGCGAAAAGCTGCGTGGTGGGCCACGGGAAGGTAAGTAAGGGAATTTGGGGATGAATTATTTTCTGGGTTATACAAAGAGGAACGGATAATTGGACAAATAGCTGGACGGGCTTCCCCCTCCCCCCTTCCCATACCTCGCCCTGCCCTTCAGAGCCCTGATGGGAGGAAGCGGCATCTTGTATCTGCCGCTGCTTGAAGCTCCTGGCGGAAACGCACAGCAGGAGGAACTTAGTAATTGGGTTCTTAGCGGGCCCTTGGGCTCGAGGTCTCTGCTGCCTCCGAACAATGTGCTCATAACACCAAACACTACCAGAGGTCAGGATTCCAGTAGTATGCGGGGAGGGAGGCGTGGCGACTTTCTTCAGGTTGTGTGGGGGCTTGGATTCCGCTGTTAATGCTCGTAGTGCGCGGCTCCTGGCCCTTCGGCCCTTCCTCCTCCTTCCTCTCTGGCTTAAAATGAAGTTTATCATGGAAAATGCTTTCTAGTGCTCCACTAGTTACCAGTATTTCGAGATTTAAATCCTTGAACTTCAGGAAACGTGTTGGAACTCCAGCGGTAGGTAGCCGACTCTGCGTGGGGTCGGCGCTCAGCCACACCCCGGCTCCCTCGGGGCGACTCGGCAGCCCGTCTCCAGGGTCAGGTCCGCTCGGGGCTGCTGGGCTGGAGGAAGCGCCGTGCCGACGAGTCTCGGCCTCAAGTCCTCCATCTGCCGCAAACCTTACCTGCTGAAACCCTTTGGACCAAGTCTTTGGTCAAATAAGCGTTGAACTCGGTAATCCCCGGAAACTTCTTGCGTTGGGCTTTGAGATGGAGCCAAGTCTTTGGTTTAACTTGCGTATAAAAATGCCATATGGTTTTAAAGTAGTTTTTTTGTTTGTTTTTAAAGAGAGGAGTTATAAAAAACTACCTTTGATCCCACTATGGTTTTGATTTTTCCTTTTGCTTTGTTGTGTACGTGCACGCGACTGTGATCATATTATATAGTTTACAACCTGTTTCATTTAATTTGCAGTTTTCCATTAGCTTCCCACTATTTTCAGTGGCTAATATTCTATTTAATCATTTCACTGTTGGATAGTTTGCAGTTTTTACTTATTTGCAGTGAGCGTATCCTACATCTATCTTTGAGTCAATGATTCTTTCCTGATAAATGCCTCACTGTGGAATTGGATGAATGTTGTAGCTTAAATATTATGGAGAAAATATATTTTAGCAGATAGTACTGGTCACAGTTACTCATTTCTACATTACATAGCTGTTTTCCCTTGAATAAGTCAACTATTTCTGCTGTCACTGTAATGGCTTCAAATGCTAAAACTGACAAACTCCAGATTTTAGATGTCCCTCACTGGATTAGAAGTATCAAGAATAGATCCAATATAAAGTGAACAGAATTAGCATTTTGGTCTGTACCCAAATATGCCAGTTTCATTTTGGGATTTGTGTTTACATCTAGTTCCAGAGGTTCGTAGTTTTTTGGGTTTTTTTTTTTTTGTTTTTTTTTTTTTTTGAGATTTTATTCATGAGAGAGAGAGAGAGGCGGAGACACAGGCAGAGGGAGAAGCAGGCCCCATGCAGGGAGCCCGACGCTGAACTCAATCCAGGGTCTCCAGGATCAGGCCCTGGGCCCGAAGGTGGTGCTAAACCGCTGAGCCACCTGGGCTGCCCAGGTGTTCTATTTCTGAGTGGGAATAGCCTTCAAGTGACAGGCATAATTTCTAAGAAAATCTCAGTGGCAAATTATTAAAAAAGCGTGGTAGTCTAGAAGTGACAATTAGAGGGCAGTAAATTACTGAAGTATTTCTGAAATGCAGCTTGGGTTAGACTCCTTTATGTCATATAATACTGTTATTGAGGGTCTATTAAAAAGCACTTACATTTTCTGTATTTATTGTGTTCCTTTAGTAATGGAGATATGTTGTTACTTTTCTTCCTTTAGGATTATATACATAAAGGACAGTTTTTTTGTTCCTTTCCTGTGGCTCTCATTATTTAAGTGGTGAGAGTATGATGGGGAGCAATGACTGGAGGCAAGTCATAACCCAGTTCTGAGATCATCTTAACTTTGGGAAGTATTAGTAAGTAAAAATAAGGTCAAGTCCACAAAACCCCAATTCTTTAATGAATAAGCTTAATGCCCAGCAACTTTAAAAACAGCAGTTCACATTGGCCAAAGGTTAAAAATATAGAACAGAAACAGTGCTGACAAAGTAGAAAGACTAGGTCTGTTTTTTTTCTTTCTGGCCTTATTTCTCTTGCAGCTAGTAGATTTGAGAGTGGTAATTTGGAAGTGAAGTGGTATTTGATTACCAATGTGATATAGACCCAGGAAAGACCAATGGTGGGTGAAGTCCTTACTGTATAATGTTCCATGGGCTTGCAAGTTAGTTGTTTCTATTTAAATAGAGGACAGAGATAAAGAACCAGATTACCCTCAAACAATCCCATAAAAGAGGTTAAAAAATACTTAAGAAGGAAAAAGAGGGAAAGGAAGCTTCCTGGGCATGACTCCATTTGCAAGGTCACAACGAACACCCCAACGAAGGGCAGATCTTTTCTTCTCAGTTGGCACCAGGTAATTGTTTGGAACATATATGTGCTGAGGTTTGGCCTGGGGTTCTGGTCGCGAAAGCATCTGCTCTCGGACACCCCAGCGTAACTCCTTTCTATGATCTTCACCAGGTAACCTCATCGAGTCCCAGTCTCTTTTGTACTCAAAGTATCGGGCTACCCGGTCTACCTTGCCCCGATTTCGGCTTAACTGGTCCAGCCTTGGGAGAATAAAGGACTTGGGTCTGCTGGCAACCATCAGGTCTTGTTCATAAGCTGGAGGGCCCATTCCTTCTCTTCGTAGATAACAAATGAGCTGATCTTGAGAAATTCCTTGGTATTCATGTGGTAGGGTAAGTTTCTGTGGAATGTCATCTGGGGAGTCCATGTCTTCTTGGAACTGTAGACTCATAAGCTTTTGTCTTAAGTCCCAGAGATCCATATCACTTTCTGTACCAGACTCTGATTCACTGATAATCGACTCATCTGTCACTAATACTTCCCCATCTGGCTTCTTCCGCAACACCTTTCTCTTCATCACTGGCTTTCGGAGTCTCTGGGAAGGCTCAGAGACTGTTACTGAAGTGGCATTACTTTCTACGTGTGGGTACTGCAGTTGCACAGGAAGAGCAAGTCGCTTTCCTGGGGTTACTGAAGCTTTACTGTAGGGATCATACTGGATAGACCGGGCATCTCTCCTGACATCTCCCTCACCCTGCCCTGCACAGATGTGGGTAAAAGCTGTAGCAGCTGCCAACATTCGTTCTTCTGGATCCATATTAGCCCATTTTTGTCCACTGGGCCGCATGAGTTCCTCCATTGCTTCCCCTCCACTGTAGGACCTTCTGCAAGAAAAAAATACTCATCAGTTTTCTGGTAATTCCCAGCTCATAAATTGTTCATTCCCTTTTGTGTACTATTTTATTGTAGTTACACAGAGAAAGAATGGCTAAGGCAATCATAAATGTAATAGTTATATAATAAAATACAGTTTATAATACAGAGTAGTATGGTAGCAGTTTGGAGGAACATTAACTCAGCTCCAGAGAATCCATCATCTGCTTTCATTTCCACTCTTATTTGCTCTCACTTTTTTTTTTTAAAGATTTTATTTATTTGAGAGAGAGCGCGAACAAGTGAGCATGCACATGAGCACGCACAAGCAGTGGAGTAGGGGTGGAAGGGGAGAGGGAGAAGCAGACTCCCTGCTGAGAGCCTGATGTGGGGCTTGATCCCAGGACCCTGAGATCATGACCTGAGCCAAAGGCAGTTGCTTAACCAATGAGCCACCCAGATGCTCCTTGCTCCCACCTTCTAATGGCTGGTAGTTCCTGCTACCTTTAGTAGTCCTACGACAGTACAGGTGGTTCTGGCATTAAAAAAAGCTTGTGACTTAGGGCACCTGGATGGTTCAGCCAGTCAAGTGTCTGACTCTTGGTTTTGGCTTAGGTCATGATCTCAGTGGATCATGAGATTGAGCCCCATGTCTGGCAGAGTCAGTCAGCTTGAGATTCTCTGTCTCTGCACTCTCCCCTCCCCACTTATGCTTTCTCTCTCCCAAATAAATAAAATCTTAAAAAAATAATAAACCACCTTGTGACTATATGATATGGTATGTGATATGGGGCTTAACGCTTAATGGACATTACACAACTCAAGAGTGGCAGTTTGTATATCTAGGATTGTCCTATGTGCTTAACATTTATCAGTTCATGTATCCTTATTATCTTCTTTCAACAGATGAGTAACATGAGGCAAAAGGGGTTAAATAACAAGCCCAAGATTACAAGCTAGTAAGTCATGGAATTGGAAGTCTAACTCAGGCAATCTGGCTTCAGAGTCCTTGCTTTTAACTGTGAGAGTGACTTAATTCCAAAACCATCACAAAAGCAGTGATAGGCATATAAACACTCCTATGCTTAAGAAATTTTTTGTTAAATATTTGAGAGAGCGCCCATATGTGTGCTCACAAGTGGAAAGGAGGAGGGGAAGGGACAAGCAGACTCTGTGCTGAGCATGGAGCCCAATACTAGTTTCCTGACTGGATCTGGGATAGGTATTATCTACTGTCCACCATTTCCTGTATCCCTACAATTTTTCTTTTTAAACTGAAAAACTAGTACATGTGCATGGTAATTAAAAAAAAAAAAGACTGTCGACATATTAGTTTCAGGTGTACATTTGACAAGTTTATAGGTCATGCTAAGTTCACAAGTGTAGCTGCTATCACCATAAGATGCTATTACAGTACCACTGACTTCATGCCCTATGCTGTAGTGCACATAATTTTAAGGATCTCCCCTCCCCCTACCAAATCTCACTCTCAAAGGCAGTTTCTTACACTTTCTCTAGTAATTTTCCATATTCATATGCGTATTTTTATACCCTAAGGGAGCATATTATACAACTCTTCTGAACTTTAGTCCTGGTGATCCAGCTGTATCAGCACATATTGACTGACTTCATTTTGTTTAAAGTCGCACACAACTCTGACGTATGGATATGTTCCTGATTTAATTCACCTTACAGTCTTGTTAAAAACGTTACAAGTATCTTTTGAATTTTTAAAAGATGAGAGTATATACTTGTGTAAGCATATATATGTGTATATTACATTTCTAGAAATGCAGTAGGTCAAAAGATGTGTGTGCTCAATTTGATAGCTGCTGTCAAATGCCCTCTGCCCTCTGAAGAAGCTGCACTGATGGTGTCTTCAGAGCTTGTTTCTTCATTCCCTCTTCACAGTGGTATACTAGTACACCTTCTCTGCAGTCAGCTTGGTAAACAGTTCCCAACTTAAATGCCACTGAGTAGACATGAACTTTTCATATATGTATGTAAGCTTTTTTTCCTCTTTTTTGTGTGAAATGCTTTTCCTTTCCCATTTACCTCTCAGATTGTTGAACTTTTTCTTATTGATCCTTACATTAAAGCTGATGCATATATTCATAAAATACTTATAGAGCAAGCAAATTACCCTTTGCCATAAGTATTTTTCTTCCAAGTTTGTTGTTTACCTTTTATTTTTTGCTGGTACAAACTTTCCATTTTAGGCAGTCACTTTTTTTTTTTTTTTTTTTGGTTTTCTACAGTATCTTATTTAGAAATGCCTTTTCCATTCCAAGACTATAAAAAAAGGTTTTCTTCTAGTACTTTTAAAGTTTTTTTTTTAATTTAAACTTTTAATCTATCATAGATATAAGAAACTCTCAAAGGCCAAAAGCTAAACAAGTTACCAAGAATTAGGTAACATGACCTTAGAACAGATTTGGAGACAATCCAGAACTAAAGTGACCACCAGTCACAGATTGTCTAGTACTGTCCCAGTTCTAAGGATGTGGTATGTCGATCCCCATGTTTTTGAAATATGACAGGAATTTCAACATCTTAATTAAATTTTCTAGACTGACTCTTCTAACTGCTAGAGGTACAGAACATAAATTTGACTTTAAAAAAGGACCATGATGCTTAATTACCTTTTTTCTGCCATCAAAACTACTTAGAGTGGGAAAGTCTGGACTTCAGGCTCTATTTCCAATATGAAATACAGTCATTGGCAAGTTTCATCAATCAGGCCAGCCTCTACTGTACCACCTTTAAGACAGAACTGTTAGATGTTAGGACAAACAAGCCACTGATTTTATCTGACATGTCGAAAAAGCAGAAGAGCAGACATATATATTCCATATGAACAGATTTTATGATTCAAAAGATTGGACAAGCGTAATAGTCAAAAGGAAATGCTTTAAGGAAGATATAACAGTAATCAATCCTTAAATCATCTTAGCTAATAAAGAAGAGAAAAATGGGATCTATAGACATTTCCCCTAAATTCTGACTGAATTTTAACAATGCTAGCTAATGCTTGTCTCCCTGAATGGAAGCAAAATATATCTTTTAGGCATTAAATTAAATCTTAGGTACTATTTGCACATAATGGAATGATACTGACATCAACCAAAGTAATCTGCATTGAAATTGTTGTATCCTTTTAGTCTCTTTTCAGATAGAGTGGACCTATATGATTCCTTTATTCCTGGGGTTGGTTGTCTTATCATGGCTGAAAATGACACAGATAGACTCCAAATTGAGAAACTCCTGAAGAGAGTACAAGAACTGGAAGAGGAGGTACAAAGACTTAAAAAAGAACAGGCCAACAACAAAGACTCAAACGCGAGAGAAAATTCTTTAGGAGCCAGAAAAGCTAAGCGTGCATTTGATTTCAGTGCTCATGGCCGAAGACATGTAGCCCTAAAGATAGCCTATCTGGGCTGGGGATACCAGGGCTTTGCCAGTCAGGAAAACACAAACAATACAATCGAAGAGAAACTGTTTGATGCTCTAACCAAGACTCGACTAGTAGAAAGCAGACAGACCTCCAACTACCACCGGTGTGGGCGAACAGACAAAGGAGTTAGTGCCTTTGGACAGGTAAGGGCCACTATACAGTTTCTCAAAGCAAGCGATACCAATATATGCACATGTTAAGAATTCCGATTGTGTCTCCAAACTTCTTTCTTTAATTCCACAGGTGATTTCTCTTGACCTCCGTTCTCACTTTCTGGAGGGCAGCACTTCGGAGGATTCTAATTTAAAGAATGAAGTCAACGATGTTGCTAAAGAGATTCGCTATACCCACATTCTCAATCGGGTGCTCCCTCCAGACATCCGTGTACTGGCCTGGGCTCCTGTGGAACCTAGCTTCAGTGCTAGGTTCAGCTGTCTGGAGCGGACTTACCGCTATTTTTTCCCTCTTGCTGATTTAGACATTGTAACCATGAACTACGCAGCTCAGAAGTATGTTGGCACACATGATTTTAGGAACTTATGTAAAATGGATGTAGCCAATGGAGTGATTAATTTTCAGAGGACTGTTCTATTTGCTCAAGTAGAGCTAGTGGGCCAGAGCCTGGATAAAGAGCAATGGCAAGAACCTTTCCAGTTATGTCAGTTTGAAGTGGTTGGCCAGGCATTCCTTTACCATCAAGTCCGCTGTATGATGGCTATTCTTTTTCTGATTGGCCAAGGAATGGAGAAGCCAGAGATTATTGATGAACTGCTGAACATAGAGAAAAACCCCCAGAAACCTCAGTACAGGTAAGTTAAAAACAACCAAAAAACCCCAAAGTGACTGTTGCCTTTACATTGTTTTTAATTAAATACTTTAATTAAAGGTTAACATATCTTCCTCTCCTAACAATTGTCTAATTAACTAGGTCACTTATTTTGTCTTCATGAAGCATTTACTCTAACTTGTAGAATGCTATGAACATCAAGGAGGGCTACCTTTTTCTTGTCTCATTGTTCTGTCTCATTAGTAAGAAACAGGTGTTTGGACCAGGCCCCTTAATAAAATAACATTCATTTTTTTTCCCATGAATTTATGTTGAGAGGTATTATTGTTAAGTTCTGGTGAAGTTTAAAGGTAAGCATTCAAACTATTAAATCTTCCTTTATATTACCGAGTAGTCATAACTATCATACTTTGAATTTTTCCTAATTTTCAGTGTCTGAAATGGTAGGAAAGATGGGAAGAATAGACTTTTCTTTTGAGAGCTGGCTGAGGTCAGATAAACCAACAATTCATTCCTAAGCAGTAAAATCTAGTTTTTACTTCATATCATGCAAAATTAACAAGTTTGGAAAAATGTAAAGAATAATTTTATAGCATTATGGTTGAGGCAAGTCATCTCACTTTTGGGTGACCTGTTACCCTTGAAATGTAGCCTAATATAGATCAAGTTTAACTAGCTGATCCATAGTTTTTGGTTTTTTTCTTATTTTTGGTTGTTCAAGGTTAGGGATCAGTTTTTTATTTTCTTATCTGTTACCCAATACTGACAAAGTTTTCCCCTCCTTTTAACCCAACTACCCCCTGACCTTGTTCCTAAAAAACTGTTGGATGGCTGCTGTGTATTTTCATACTCTGTTTTTCATCTCTTTTTCTCTCTAGTATGGCCGTAGAATTTCCTCTAGTCTTGTATGACTGTAAGTTTGAAAATGTCAAGTGGATTTATGACCGGGAGGTTCAGGAGTTCAATGTCACTCATCTACAACAACTATGGGCTAATCATGCTGTTAAAACTCACATGTTGTATAGCATGCTACAAGGACTGGACTCTGTTGCAGTGCCCTGTGGGACAGGTATGACAGGAAAATCCTAGGATACAATTATTTACTAGAACCAAAGCTATAGAGAGTATGGGGGAGGTAGATTTATATAAAGTTTGGAGGTGATTCTACGGTAGTAAAGTAATATTTGATTGTATATATTATAGGACCAAAGATGGATGGAGTAACAGAATGGAGAAATGTTAAGCCTTCTGTCATAAAGCAGACCAGTGCCTTTGTAGAAGGAGTGAAAATGCGCACATACAAACCCCTAATGGATCGTCCTAAATGCGAAGGATTAGAATCCCGGATCCAGCATTTTGTACGTAGAGGACGCATCGAGCACCCACTTTCGTTCCATGAGGAAGGGTCAAAAACCAAAAGGGACTGTAATGATACAATGGAGGAAGAAAATACTCTTTTGGAGAAACCAACAAAGAGAGTCTGTGTTGATACAGAAATTAGAAGCATCAGTTAACCATAACAGGATCTAGAAGGGAACCAACTAGCTAGTGGTAGGGGTATAGAAAAGAAATTTAAGATAATATGTACTTCAAGAAATCCTAAAATTCAGATGATCAGTTCTTAAAAAAGAAAAAAAAAAACCCAAAAAACCAAAAGTCCCCCCAAAACCCAAAGACCATTAAGCCCTATAAAGGAAGTTCCAGCTTAAATAAGAGTTCAGATGTTCTCATTCCTCCCCAAAAGGATTAAGAGATGGAAGAAGCAAAAAGCAATTGTGAAACGGAGAGTTGTTTACATATACATGTGCCTTGTGTTCAAATTAAATTAAAGCCTGATCCTGCAAGTGTCTAATTTGTTATGCTGTCTTTTTAAAAAGCAAATGAGATATTCACTACTCATCTGAATTCTTATAAAGAGCTTTGCCTTGGTTTATTATTTTTAAAGATTTTATTTACTTATTCATGAGAGACAAAGAGAGAGACACAGGCAGAGGGAGAAGCAGGGAGCCTGATGTGGGACTGGATCCCAGGACTCCAGGATCATGCCCTGGGCCGAAGGCAGGCACTCAACCACTGAACCACCCAGGCGTCCCTGAGTGTATTATTTTTTTAAGAGAGAAATTAAAAATAAGAAATTTAGTCAGTTAAATATCTGGTACATTGGTTTATGCAAGGCACAATACTACCTGAAAATGACCTACCTGAATAAAAGCACAGCATCTCTTACAAAGCTTATCAGTCTAGTGCTGTGAGCCACAAGTGGTCTCGGTTACACAGTCATCTTTCTCTTTTTTTTTTTTTTTTAAAGATTTATTTAAGAAAGAGCACATGAGCAGGGGGGAGGGACAGAGGGAGAAGGAGAAGGAGACTCCCTGCTGAGCAGGGACCTGATGTGGACCTTGATCCCAAGATTCTGAGACTGAGATCATGACCTAGGCCGAAGGCAGACACTTAAAGGACTAAGCCCACCCAGGTGCCCCCATCATTTTCTTCTTCACAACCTTTTACATATGTAAAAAACATTCTTAGCTTTATTCACGAGCCATATAAAAATAGGCTTAAAAATAGGAGTTTACAACCTCCTGATGTAGTGGTTTAAGGAAAGCTCTTAGAAAGAGGAGGTTTCCAAGCTAAATCTTGTCAGGTTTCCAAGCTAAATCTTGTAGAACAAGTGGGAGCTAGTTAAAGAGGGGATAAAGAAATACATTTTAGTGTGTCCAAGGCAGAAGATGCAGTTTGTATAAAGCGTTAGAGATTTAGCAGCATTTGAATGCAGATAATTGTAAACAAAGGAATATGGCTTGACCCTGACAAGAGCCTAGTTTAGAAAAGGAAGCAAGGGTCATGTTTGTAGATTCCTGAAGGCCTTCCTAAGATTTTATTTTGAGAAGCCACTGGGGGCAGGGAGGGGAGGGGAAGCCAGGATCGTGTAGCAAAAATATTGCTCTGGGATTGCTCTGGGTTTGGTGTGGATTGGAAAAGGGCAAGACAGTGGGCCCAGTTAGGAGGCTGTCAGAGTAATCAAGGAATTAGATGATGATGGCTTAGACTAGATTTGTAGTAAGGGGGATGGAAAGAAGATGAATTTGAAACCAAGAAAAGAGCAGCAACAGGGTTTTATGGTGAGGTTCAAAAGTAGGGAGGCTTTCAGGGTAATATCTAGGTTTCAGACTGAAGCACATCTGAGACACAAAGGACAGGAAAATGAAGTGGGGCTTTGTTCTCAAAGATTATAAGTAACCCTCAAAATATTATTACTTAACACCAATATTTATTCAAAAGAATTCAAAGTTCTTTTAAATGAGGTATTAGCTTTTATAGTAATTAAAATAATAAATACCAAATGAACTCAGACCTTCTGCCTCAATAACAATCTTCATCACTACGGAGTGTAATACTTCTGTACATTTATGAAACAATTATACTATATGTTTGAGATCCAAAGTTTTACTTAACAATCAACAAATAGTTTTGTTTCTACTTAGGCTCCAAACCCCTGGGATACAAATATGGTGTATATCTTCAAGCTGCTAGCTAAGACAACATATGGGGCAATTACAAACAATGTTAATATATAAAGAGTAAACTGATCTTGTGTAAGTGCTATAGAAGCTTAGCAGCGTGTGGCAAAGAAACAAGACTTTACCGAAGAAGTTCCAGGTTTAGGATGTAAAACCGTATAAGAAAAGTGAAGTGACCTTGCAGTACTGAAGAAAATACACAATAGCTTTCACATTCTAACAGAGTAGGAACTGGACAAGGTCCTCATTTTAGAAATAGGAAAACAGTGGTACAAAACAACTAAGGTTTATTCTTAATAGCCAATTGCACAATCCAGGTCATCTGGATTTTTTTTTTTTAAGATTTTATTTATCCATTCATGAGAGACACAGAGAGAGAGCGAGAGGCGCAGAGGCACAGGCAGAGGGAGAAGCAGGCTCTATGTAGGGAGCCTGATGTGAGACTCGATCCCAGGACTCCAGGACCACGCCCTGGGCTGAAGGCAGGTGCCAAACCCGCTGAGCCACTCAGGGATCCCCTGGTCATCTGGATTTTGAGTCCTGTCATTGATCTTTGGAACCTGATTTTTCAACATTTCATACTGCCTGAATATTCTTAAAATATTACTTTCTCCTCTAAATTTTATGTAAGGATCCTTTTGTTTTGAGTGTAATGACTGAGTAGAGTATCCTCACTTTCACATGTAAGGACAAACCGAAGCATTCGATTTTTTTCAACTTCTTACCTTATTTCAGTGTACCTCCACTCGCATTAGTTTTCAAGTTAAAGAAAAACCTGGAAAAGAACAGAGTTTATGGAATCACAATTTAAAAAAAATCAACTCTAAAGAAATGATATACAGGACAAAAAAAAAAAAAAAAACCACTAACTGAAAAGCCATGTTTGGGCGATTCTACAGAAGCAAAGGAGTCAGGACAACAGTCTTAGATCTTAAGTAAAATCCTTTGAAGGTTAACTAGATTATACTATCATATATAGTAGAGTAAGCATTTTGTGATACTATTTTTTGGTAGTTGCCATAGATAAACTCAGGACAATTATCATAGATGAAGCAATGATGAATCCCAAAATGCGATTCTGCAAAACTACTTAAGTTATCTGAAGTAATATTTGTTATAAATTTCAGTCTCTGACTCAAGGAAGGGACTAAATAAACATTAGAAGAAAAGTAGGTCTTAGATCTTAGTTTCTTCATTGGCAAAATTTAAGAAATTATTCCAATAGGTGATGAAGTTTAAATGAGATTATACACATTATATATGAATATATAACATTTAATATATATGTAACATTATACATAAATATATATAAATAAAATGGTGTTTTGTGAGGAGTACTAGACCATTTAATTCAATATTCATGCAATACAAAACTACCTACTAAAAATATAAAAGCAGGGACAGAAATGGAACAGGACTCTTTGGGTTAGGAGGATCTCCAACATGAAAACCCAGAGATTTCTTTACAGCATATGTACTATACTACACAGTGATTAACCTGTTGTCTTCTTTGCATTTAAATTACAGCACACTCCCATTCTTTTTCTAGAATGTATGAAGATGGTTATTTGTAAATAAAATATAAACTTAAGTAAAGGCCCATAGGTAACTGTAAATTCTTTCCTTTTAATATAAAAGCCCCTTTACTTAGGGCGAAACTTTCACATAGAAGCTAGAGCAGCTTATATTTTGCAGATTCTGATAGTATTGACCAAAATACCCAATAGTACCTTCTTTCCAAAACTTTTTTGAGCAACTCAGTGTCCCAGGCTTAGTAGTTGCAAGTGAAAGGGTTTTGAGGGTGTTTGGCTTCTAATCATTACAGGGGGGCTACGGTAGAGTCACAACAGATTCCTCTACCTCTGAGGAGGTAAGCATGCAGCTTTAAGAACCACAATGTCACAACAAAACACTGACAAAAGACAACCATAATCCAAAGAGACAACCAACTGGGGAAACACTTTTAACAGGTTCAAAATCACTTAATTCAAATTCTTCTAAAAAGCTATTAAAAGGTACGTCAGAAAAGGGGAAAGACGGATGGCTTACCAAAGAATAATACTCATAGAAAAAGATGTTTAATCTCATTAATAACACAAATAAAAACATTAAGATATCCTTTTAGGTTGGTAAGATTTTTCAGCACCTAGTGCCAATTAGAAGATTTATTAAAATAATAACATTTGATATGTTATTAGAAGGTGGAAGATAAACACTCTTACTGCGTGTTTAACTGTGTTTACAGTGGGTGGGTAAAACTTTGGATCTCAATTTTTCTAGAGGGCAGTTTAGCATTATGAATCACAACGTAAACTGTATCACAATTTCTAAGCCATAACCCACTTCCAAGAATTAGTCTGAGGAGAGATAAACTGAACAAGGATGCAAATGTGTACACAAACATGTAACCATCATGCTATTTTTTATGATGAAAAAACTGGAAAAACAAGTGTCCACCATTAGGGGATTGGTTAAATAATGGATCACACGGGACAACAATTGCAAGAAATACCATGAAGTCATTAAAAATAACGTATACCTATATTTGACAGACAAAATTCTAAGGCATAATCTGCTTTTTTAAGCGAATGCTTTATTATATCTGAAATATACAATTATATAAAAATATTTTCTGAGCAAAATCATGTAAATATATATTCCTAACGAATACATCTGAAGGAAACCCAAATATGAAGTGGGTTGCTTTTTAAATTTAATTCATTTATTTATTTTTTGGGGGGGCTGTTTTTAAATGGTTATCTGACAGGGGCACCCGGGTGGCTCAGTGGTTGAGCATCTGCCTCGGGCTCCGGTCGTGACCCCGGGGTCCTGGGATCTGGGCCCGCAGGGAGCCTGCTTCTCCCTCCACCTGTGTCTCTGCCTCTCGTGAATAAATAAATTAAATCTTCAAAAAAAATAAAAATAAAAAAAGTTATTTGAGGCCGATGGAATAGCTAGTATTTTCTTGCTTTTGTTCTCTATAGGTTCGTACTTCTTGGATCAATTCTAAAAAAAAAACAAGACTGTACTTATAATCAGGGAAAAAAAAGTTTTTTTTGTTTTGTTTTGTTTTTGTTTTTTCCTCCTGGGGGTAGGGCTATAGGGCCCTTGGATTCCCCACGGCCTCCTAGCCGCCCAGGGAGAGGGCTGCACGCAAGGCTGCGGCCACAAGTTCCCCAAGGGCGTCACCGGGGCTGGGAAGGGTCCGGTCCCCGCACCGCCAAGCCCCCGAGCGCCCACCTGGCCGGCGCGTCGGCCTCGGATGCTCGCGGCCCCCCGCCCCGTGCGCCCGCCCCGGCCTCCGCCCGCTTACCGGCCCCGCCGAGGGCCG